TCAGCAAGATGCGCCTGGCCACGTCGCTGTCGAGAAACGCGGACTCCTGCGCGCGCGGCTCCAAATTGAAGTCCGTGCGCGGCTGCTCCTTCTCGGGCTCAGGGGCGCCGCCGTCGCCGCGGAAACCCTCGGACACGGCGTTGAAGACCTGGGGCAGGGCGCAGGCGCGGTGGACCTGCTCCTCCGAGATCAGAAGCGGCACACCCGCCCCCTGGGCCGCCACGCCGTCGCGCCACATCATGTCCCAGAGGAATATCATAGCCGAAAGCATTCCGAGCTTCCACGGCGATGCCCCGGCCTCGGCAGCAGCGGAGCTGTTGCCCTTGTCGCCGTTCTGCTTGACCTTGATCTGGAACCACGCGGCGTACGACAAGAACGCACCCTTGGCCTTCGAGTCGAAGTCCACGTCGTTGTGGTCCTCCTTGAACGCCGCCACCAACTTGCCCGCCGCCGCGCACAGGTCGCGGCCCTCGGGCACGTCGATGTCGCGGACCGCGAGCGCCCACTCAGGCACGTACTTGTCACCCTTCCAGGCCATGCGCACGCGCGTGATCACCCCGTCAGGTAGCTCATGCCCCCAGCCCTGCTCGTCTGGAACGAACGGGAGCTTCACTGCATCCATGATCTGGGCATCCAGTTCATCCTCATCCAGGTTTGCCACGCTCTCCTCGAAGTACTTCACGGCGCCCTCCACGTTCCTGAGCGCGTCTCCGAAGCCCAGGTGCACCTGCAGAACCTCCGTAATCTCGAAGTACTCGACCTTGGCCACGATATCCCCTACCGTCTCCACCGCCTGGCGCGGCTGATTGGGCTCCCCAGTCGTGAAGAGCAGCCGAGCCCGAGTTTGGCACCCATGGTCGCCTCGTAGGCCCTTGTGCATCTCGACGGCGGGAGTTGGATGCAGATTCCCAATGACGGCGGCGTTGACAGACGGCGCGTCAATGCCGCCGTGGCAGCCGACCGTCTTTGTCTCGTGATCAGAGCGCCCGCTCTGCAGGAGGCGGTTCGCCCACCCTGCGTTGGGCGTTTGCCCCGATGCCACGTCGTCCGTCTTCTTCGCGCCTGGCTTGTCCAGGAGCGCCAGCTCCTGGAGAATGTCGTAGGCCTCGTCGAAGATGAGGCCTTGGCCGAAGTACAGGCGACCCTGCACGCCAGGACGGCTCGCCATCTTGATCTCCGCATCCGTGGCGCCAGGCAGCTTCTCCTTCACGGCGTCGGCAGAGAGCGAGGGGAACTTGCCGCCCTTCTTGGTGACCTTCGTCTGCGTAAAATCACCCGCGCACCTCTCCTTGCACCGCTCCATAGTGCCGCCCGCGTACGCCACGGACCACGCGCCAGGGAACGCCGAGTACGACGCGTGCTCGCCCGCCGCGGCCTGCGGATGCTCGCCTGCCGCTTCATCGCCATGCGCATCGGCGGGCTGCTCCGCCTTCTCTGCCAGCGCCTTGAGCTTCCAAATCATCTCGAGCCGCTTGATCACTGCAATGTCCACGGGCCTGATCAGCTTCTCGGCCATCTGCGTCAAGCGGGACTTCCTCGCCTGAGACTCGTTCACGTTGAAGCACATGGCCGCGACGGGGTCGAACGACCCCCACAACTTGACGCGGGCCCCGTTGCAGAGAACGGGCGTCGTGGCCAACGCGCAACCGAAGATGGGAAATGCAGGATGCGCCATGCGCACGCTTTCGATATGGATAGCCTCGTACCCGGCTTTCCCTGCGATGTACTCCCCGCGTTTCGCCCACGCGGCGCCCACCGCCTTCCCCACGCTGAGGAGAGTATCGCTGCACACTGCCATCGCACCTTGGCGCGCGGCGCGCGAACGAGCCCAAGCAGGCGTGAGCTAGCCTGCCAAGTGCGATCGCCTTGAGCCTGAGCGGCGGCGGGCGGGGGGAGAAGAGGGGCGGGCGGAAGTCAAGGAAGATGGATTGACTACCTCATGGGGCACCCTTTCCGTGTCACGGTTGCTGCCCCCTGTCCTCTTCCTCCTCCTTCTACTCATATGTCCTTTCATCCTTCTCTTCCTCCTCCTGCCTCCTCCCCCATCCTCCTCCCCCTCCGTTCCTTACCTCGCACAGAAGCTAAGAAATTAGCGTTCTAGCCCAGTTTTAGACCCCCCCTATTTCAATAAACAGGGGGGGGGTCTAAAATTGGGCCCGAATAGTATTTTTTACACAGTATGTGTCCCGCCCCGTCCCCCTTTTCTGGACCCCCCCCCTGGTCCCCAAATCCCCCTCATGCGTCTAATCCGTTGGATGATTGCTTACCGAACTGGTTCTGGACGGCCTGGTACACTACGGGTTCAGCGTCGTTCGTCGTTCGGGTCAAGTTTCAAAAGTTTCAAAAGTTTCAAAAGTTTCAAAAGTTTCAAAAGTTTCAAAAGTTTCAAAAGTTTCAAAAGTTTCAAAAGTTTCAAAACCATCTCAGGCTTCGATTTCAAGATTTTGACCCGAACGACGCCGAGCCCTATTATTCTTCAGAAGTGGGAGCTCAATAATTCAAGACTGTTCGCCCTTATCTGCTCTACTGTCCAATAACGCGAATTTCCCAAACCCTCGGTACCCGTTCCCTTCGTCTTCGATCGAACCCCTTCTGGAGGGTATACCTTTCTTCCCTGCATGCGGGGCCCCGGCAAGCGGCGGGGCGGCCGCGGACCGTCGGCTTGGCCAACGGCAGCGCTGATCGGCGGGGCGGCCGCGGACCGTCGACCCGACCCCAAGAGGGACGGACAGGGGACCGACCACGACGACGACGACGACGACGACGACGACGACGTCGACGACGACGGCGACGACGACGACAACGGCGACGACGAGCGAAAGCGAGAGCGACAGTGAACGACAGCAGGGCCACGAAGGACACGAAGTAGGCCACGAAGGGCGACAGCGGGGACACGAAGGGAATGCGTATGGGGCCACGATGAGCGCGAACGATCGGGGGCCACGAAGGGCAGATAATGCGGGGCCACAGAGGGCAACGATGGGGCCACTGAGGGTAGCAACTGGGCCACATAGGACAATGAGGGGGCCACACACGGCTACAGCGGGGCCACGAAGGGCATGCACATGGGGCCACAATGGGCGCGACTCCTGGGTGGCTGGGTGTCGGGAGCGCGGCGCTTGAGCAAATTGCAAGGAATTCCAACGCAGGGGCGCTACTCTTCAGCAAATTGCAAGCAAGTCTCCAGCGAGAGCGCGACTCCAGAGCGCCGGGAGAGCGATGCCTGAATAAATTGCAAGGAAGTCCCAAGCACGAGCGCAATTCCTGAATCAAATGCGAGGAAGTCTGGTCTGGGGCGGGAGCGGGGGTCCTGGCTAAATTGTAAGGAAGTCTCAGGCGGGAGCCGTTGTTGTTGGAACCCGGGGGCCAGGGGCACAGTTTGAGCATCAAGACTTTCCCTGTCAAAAAACAGGGTGCGAGCGCCGAGGGGCACACTGTGATTGAGAAAAACAGTATGCACCTGTGGGGGGTCAACAATGATTATTTTTCAGAAATGAGAAGTCAGCAACAACAATAACGATACCAACAACAATAATAATAATAAAAATAAAAATAAAAAAAATAACAATAACAATAATAATACATATAAGAAATATCAATATATATATATATATATATATATACATATATAATATAATATATATATATAATATAATATAATATAATATAATCTATATATATATAATATTAATATAATATATAATAATAATATATATAATATATATAATATAATTAATATAATATATAATATATTATAATAAATATAATATAATATAATATAATATTATAATATAATATATATAATATAATATAATATAATAATAATATATATAATATAATATATATAATATAATATAATATAATATAATATAATATAATATAATATAATATAATATAATATATAATAACAACAACAACAATAACAACAACAACAACAACAACAACAACAACAACAACAACAACAACAACAACAACAACGACAACGACAACGACAACGACAACAACAACATGAACAACAATAACACAACAACAACAACAAAAACACAACCACAACAGCAACAGCAGCAGCAACAACAGCAACAACAGCAACACCAACAACAAAAACCCCCCCCCCCCCCCCCAACAAAAAAAAACGAAGTCGCTTCGCTCATTCCACTGGCCCGTACAGCGAGGTCGTAGCGACTGGGGTATATTACTCGTGCTCTGGAGGGGCGCCGTCACCGAACGCCTAGGGCTGGAGTGTGAAGTGTACATCCTGGATTGCCTCCAGGAGTGCATCTTTGGCTAACACTGTATACGGGGACCCGTGAGACACCTTGTCAAAGAGGTGAAAAGCTCTCACGAGGTTCCACAACAACGCAGGACTCGCTGGGAGAAGGCCCCGGCGCTCCGGAGGAGAGGCATGTAAGGGAGGGAACTCCGGGTGGTGAAGAATCTCCTGCAGCTTTGGGCACCTCCAGTAATGTCGAAAATCGTCTCCCTGGTGCCAATGGGTGTTGACGCGCGCGCAGCCGAATCTACATGCGAACGGGGGGGCGTGCAGCCTGGCCCTCGTCGTCCACCCGCCGAGCAGCGATTTGAGGGCAGCTGTGGCCCCGCAGCCCCTCCAGGAAGCGAGGGTGCGCTGCAACGCCTCGAAGTCTATCTTGGCGCGCTGCCAGACATACCCCAGTGGCTCTCCAGCGACTGCGGTATGTGTTCGTGTGCTCGCGGCCAGCGGGAGATGTCTGGGGGAGGCACTCGATGTCTTTTCGGGGCACTCTTGCTTGGGGCCTCTCGGGGGCCTTATGCAGCAGCTTTTGGCCCCTCGACCCTCGCTATCAGATCCCCGAACGGCGCGAGGAGGTCAGGGGATGCGTCCACGGCGACGACGGCGACGGCGATGACGCCGACGGCGACTACGACGACGACGACGACGACGACGACGACGACGACGACAACGACGACGACGACGACGACGACGACGACGACGACGACGACGACGACGGGGCGCCGCCGTCCTCGATCAGGCGGCGGGCGACGACCTGAGACCGCATGCCGTCGGAGCTCTCGCTGCGCGTGACGACCTCCTGGCCGTCCTCGGAGTACCTCGACGGCGGCGACGATCGGGTCGGACGGCAAGTGGGGGTTAGCGAAAGGGGAGGAGCGAATCGGCTTACGCAGCTGGCTTTCCTGATGCCTCCCGACGCCAGCGGCGCGACCGTATCGAGAAAGGCACCCAGCGCCAGGGCCGAAATCAGCTGCTTGCAGCATGTTTCGGCCCCCCCCCTTTCGGCCGACCCGAGACGGCGGCGACGGCGGCGACGACGTCGTCGCCGCACCGCCACCGAGGCCGCCGTCGCCACGACGACGGCGTCCTCCTAGAGGCCTCCTCTGAGGCCGCTGGGGGGACTCAAAGCGCTCAGAAGTAGCGCCCTGACGACCGACGACGGCGTCAACGACACCAGCGGCGGCGGCGGAGGCGACGACGCCGACGCCGCCGCCGACGCTACCGCTGCCGCCCTCGGCGTGTCCGTGTCCGTGTGCCCCAACCCCGCGCCCCGAGCACGAGGGGGAGAGGAGGAGGGGGGCCGAGGACTCTATGACGAGGACTCCCCGGATGCCTACCACACGCCTGAAGAACGACTTGACGAGAGCGGGCGTGGGTTTCAGGGAGCGTTTCGGGGTCGCATCGGAGCCTTCTTGGGACTGCCCGGCCGCGGGGCCACCTTCTCGCAGCGGCGCACCCCCCCCCGCCCAACGTTGGTTCGAAGTCCCAACGTTGGACGGGGGCGGGGGGTGATGCGCAGAGGAGGAGGAGGAGGAGGAGGAGGAGGAGGAGGAGGAGGAGGAGAAAGGTCTTTCTTCACGAGGGTTGCAGATAGAAAAACTCGAGGCGGACTGTTCTTGGCACCTTCGGCGTCTACACGCCGCCTTCCAGCCCCGGCACAGTCACGGAATCCGGGGCGCCTGGAGAGAGTGAGGACGCCGGGGGGCCCAGGGGAACGAATCACGGCATCGGAGGTACGGGGGGGGAAAGCGATGTTTCATCATAAGAAAAATAACGAAAACTGCAGAAGCATAAGCTGTTGGAGTTCCGCGCGAATTTCTTCGTCGACCAACTTTGGGCCCTCAAGGCGGCGCCTCCTGCGCCGCCACTGGCGCGCTCCGTGCGCCAGGGAAGGGGACTCAGCGCCGATCCAAGAAATCCGCGCAGAGATACAAAAAAAAAATGTTTATGCTGAGCCGTCCGTCTTCGAATCATTTGAATGGTTTCACCGCGTTTCTGGGCCGCGACATGATTCAACGAAAACACACATGATTCCCACACCGTGCCGTACACACTCGGAGGCGTCGTCAGACCCCTCAAAACTTGAATGCTGTCCGACAGCGCGCTTGCAACGGTTGGTATGTATCGGGCCATTGCGTCTTCCTGCGACTGCCTGTCAATGCAAAACAACATATATGCCCCCGACGCATCAAGCCCAACATGCGCTGGTACGTTTGGCCGGAGATGTGCGCTTAAAGTTTTCCCGGCACAAAGAAGCGAAGAAAACTGCCACGGAGTCCGAGAAACATGCCCCCCCGCACCGCCCTTGTCGCGGCAACGGCGATTCCAAGATGGCCTCCAGGAAAGGACAGAAGCCCCAAATGGCCTTCAAGACGGCCGTGGTCTCCAAGTACGTGTTTTAAGACGGCCCCAGGGGACTGTTGAAGGGCTCTCTTGGGAGCCTTTTGGGCTGTATTGGACTTCGTCAGAACCTGCCCAAGAGGCCAAACTCATTAAAAGACAGCGGCGACCCTGCGATGTTCGAATATTCGCCTGCTCGCTCTGAAGATCACCCAAAACGACCCAAGCGCACCCGCCCAGGAGCCCCAGCCCCAAGATGCCTTTTTAAAAATGAAGGGCCGAGGAGGGACCCAGGAGCAGGACGCATCCAAGAGGGTGGGTGCGGAACTCGAGCGGAGATTCTGACTGTGGAACAGCCCAGATCCAGATGGCCCTCGAGACAGCCAACACGTCCTCAATGGACCCACAGGAAAACCACGAGGCCCCCCAAAGACCGCCAGAATGGCGACCGTCAGCTGCTGGAACCGGCGTTTCGCTCTGGTGCCTGGCCCCTCGCCCAGCCGCGCGTGGCCGGCCTGCGCCAGAAGGCGGAGCGCCTCGGCCCCCGTCGGGCCCCGGCCGCACGAGGGCTCTGCAACGAGGGGGATGAAAAGAACCCCCTGCTGCATTCAAAGACCTCCGTGTCAAGTTACATGTGTTTGACCACCTCTCACGCTCTGGCAGCGCGCCCCCTCCCTTCGAAAGCCAGGCCCTGGGCAGCCTGCTGCCGATGCGGCGAGGAAGCCCCTCAGTCAAAAGCAGCAGGCGTGCCCGGGTGCCAGCTCGGGATGCACACGTCGGCGGGGCGGCGACCGTTCGCGCGGTTGTCGTCTCGGCGTGGCGACAAGAACCCTGGCCTCCCCACCACAGGGTTGCAGCCAGCAAATACAGCGAAACGCCCGACCTGCTTGCGCGCGGCGTCGCGCTGGCGCACCTGGTCTCCCGCCCAGACGCAGCGGCCAGAGAGGCGGCCGTGCCGATCGCTGGGCTCGCCGCGGCATGGACAGAACTGGTCCGAATCGTAGACGGGCAGCAGACGCAGCCGTCGTGCTTCGGTGAGGAATTCCTCTGGCTCGAACAGTAAACCGAGTTTTTTATTGGGCGCCGCCTCCAGGAAGTCCGACGCGCCCAGGAGCCGCTCGGACAAGATGTCCGCGCGGTCGGCTGCGCTGAAGCCCTCGCAGAACTGCCTGTGACAGCACTCGTCGATGGCGGCGGAGACGTCCTTCTACTTGAGCCCCATCAAGCGTTTCTGGGGGCCGGCCTGCAGCTGGTGGGAGCTGCGAATTGTAGGCGGCGAAGGCAGCTCTGGCCTACGTGCCTTCGTCCTCCGGCGCCCAGGCGCATGCCGAGTCCAGCTCCGCGCAGATGCGCCGCGTGGCGTTGAGGCTGGCCACCGACGCACGCGAGCCACCGAGAAGCCTGGTGCCACTGGGCCTCCGTCCAGTCCGCGGCCAGCAGGCCTCCCAGGGCGGCCCCCTGTGCGTCCTCGTAGCCGCGGAAAGCGCCTGCCTGGAGATCTGGAGGCGCCGCGCCCGTGCTGTAGACAAGCTTGCCGAACCTGGCGCACTGCCACAGCAGGAGGAGGGCCACCTGCGGGTGGAAGGCTTCCAACGCGGCCAAGGTCGGTTTGGCCTTGGAAGCGCGGCGCTCAGTGAACGCCTCCGTGGACGTCATGCCCCCGACTGGCGCCCCGAGGAGCCAGAAACCGCCCCGCAAGGTCGGCTGGTATCAAGGTCCGTCAGCAGCGGCGCCGTGAAAAAATGGGCCAAATTGTCCGGCGCCCTCCCGCCAGGAACCACAAGCTCGCACTTCCACAGGTTGAGAGCCAGTCCTAGGGCAGGGCAACGCTGCTGCAAGGCAGCGAAAGCGCGCGAAACTGTCGCTGGCGTGCCCGCCGGGAAGCCGTCGTCCAAGTAGGAAACCTTCAGTCCAGCTCCTGGTCCCTGGCCAGCTCCTCTGGGACGGGTACACGGCCAACGATAAGAAAGACGGCCCCAGCGGGTCGCCGTTCTGAACGCCGGCCTGTGAACACCGCCCTGGGAGGACAATGCGTGCGAGCCGAAGCGCAAATGCGAGTGTTCCGGATAGGTCCAGCGCGCCCACCGCTCCAGCTCTGGGAAGTGGCCACCCACGCCTCGCAGCACTTCGCCCCGCCGTAAGGAGTTGAAGGCGCTCGCAAGGTCCAGCTTGAGTAGAACCTTGTTGCCTGGGTGGCGGTTGCCCTCGCACCACAGGGGGACAGCGTGGGCTGCTGTCCCTGCGCCGAGCGGGCTGCAGCACCCGGTCTGCAGCGGTCGGAGCGTCTGTCTCGCCCTGCCCTTGACGTGGCCACGCAGAATTTTGTTCGTCAGGCGACGGAGCACCTCGCCAACAGCGATCGGCCAATCGGCCAGACGCCGCCGTCCTCCTTGTCCAGCGACACCAAGCTGGCCCCCGCCAGGTGAGGCGCCAGCTGCCGAGGCGCCTCGCCGTTTGCCAGCAGGTGCCCCACGGCCGCGAGCTGGTCGCAGACGGTCGCACGCGTGGAGTGCGAGATGGCATCGAGCAAGTGCTGCGTTCGCAATTCCGAGGACCCCATGGGCGGCCATACGAGAATCACACAGGAGGAGACCACAGGGGAGACCACTCCAGGCTCAAGAGACCAGACGAGAATCCAGAGGGGCGGCCACACGGCAGACCGCACGGGAGATCCTACGAGCCAACCTACGGGAGACCACATGGGCCACCGATTCTGGATCCGGAGGAACTCACACGTGCCTGGAAGAAGTGCATGGGAGCCTTACAAGGAAGCTGGTTGGGGAATCTCTGATGTTCTACGCGCTTTTCCATAGTTTCGCCTTGTTGAGCTTCGGACAGCCGAAGACGAACCCAGAGGCCTCCAAGATAACTCCAAGACGGCCCAATAAGCCCCCTGAAGAGCCCCAAGACGGACCGAGAGGCCCCAAGACGACCCAAGAGATCTCCAACCCAGCCCTACAGCGCACCACTTGCCACCAAATCGGCGCCCAGGGAGGCACCCAAGACGGCCTCCGAAGGCGTCCAACGGGTCAAGAAAGCCCGAAGGCGGCCCAAGAGACCCCCGAGAGGCCCCCAAGAGGCCATTTCTGAGGCCCTCATACATTATCCTCCCTCTCCTCCTCCTCCTTCTCCTCCTCCTCCTTCTCCTCCTTCTCCTCCTCCTCCTCCTCCTCCACCTCCTCCTCTTTCGCACTCTTGCTGCACCACAGGACGCGTCGGCAGGTTGGGCTGGGCGTTTCGCCTGTTTTACCCGCTGGAAAGGTACGGAGCAGTTAGCGTCGTTGCAAAACGGCGCTCTCGCCCAAACGGCAGGCCCACGGGATGATGGTCGTCTGGGGGAACACATAGGCCAATGCCCCTGGCCAGACTCTGGTCCAGCGCTTGACCACACAGGCGCTGCCAGAAACCAGCGAGAGGCGATGGTTCGCGACAGGCGTCTTCGATCCGCGCCCCCTGTGCCTACCACAGGGTTGCTTGCCATGCTGGGTTTTGACGTGCGCGACGGCTTGAGAGACACGCATTACATAGCTTAGCCAGACTTTGGCCCGTGATTAGCCACATGAGGCCCGCGCGAGGCCACGGGAAACCCCCCGAGACCACGAAGAGGGCCAAAGCGGCATCCCGAGGGGCCCCCGAATGGACTCCCACAAGGCCCTGAGAGGCATCGAGGCGAAGACAAGGGGGAGGAGAAACGGAAACACCTTGATCTCATCGTCAACGTTGACTTGTCGACCGGGCTCATCTCTACGTACGGAGTCCCATCGAGCGTCATCACCACGGTCTTCTTCACCACGGGGGTGATCATGGTCTCCGTCCACTGCAGGCCATCCTGAGGCGGCACCCGAACACGGTGGCAGGGCGACCATGGCGGTGTTTCGTTGCTGTCGATATGAAGGCTGCTTGAAGGGTCGGTCTGGCAGCCACTTAGACGCCCCCAGCAAAGGTAAGGCGAAAGGCTGCTTAAAGGATCGGTCTGGCAACCACTTAGACGCTCCCAGCAAAGGTAAGACGAAGCCAGGACGAAGACAAAATCAGGCGAGGACACATCGGTCGGGAATCTCAAAAATCCGGCGGCTCCGGGGGATGCCTCGGGCGTCGCCGCCGCCTTCTCAGAGCCTTTCCGGAGCGCTCGGAGAGCGTTCCGGAACGCCCTGGACCGGACTCATCCTCGTCCCAGCTCCGTTTGACGAGGGCCCTTAGGAGGAGGCAGGATGAGGAGGAGGCAGGATGAGGAGGAGGGCCTTCAGGAGGCAGGATGGCCTGGCCCTGGCCAGCATGGGGGAGAGGTCCCCGAGGGGGAAGCGAACCCTTGGCGGGATTCTCCGACGGACTGGCCACGGCGAAGGCAGGAGTCGACCACGGACTCCGCGTCGACGCTGCACCCAACCTGCCGGGAGCCGCACAGCAGGGAACCCCCCTCCGTGGCGCCCGCCGAAGGTCCTGCTGTATCTCGACGGTCCGCGCGTACCGCACGACCGCGGCCCGGGCGGCCCAGGGCACGTTCATGGCCTTCAGCATCTCACTGGGGTCGTCGCTCCGCTGGAGGTTCAGCTTCCACCTGGGCGGTGGGAGAGGAAGAGAGCGGGGCCACCTCCAGCAGCACCCGAAGCTGCCAGAGGCCTGCACAGATCTCGCAGGGTCGGCGCTGGTCCCTCCCCACGCGGCCGCCACGGGGGCCCATGAGAGGAAACCGGCGGGGGGAACCGGCTGAGGGGGGGGGAACATCGAACTGGACTCGGCGACACGCCGCCGATAGGCTGGCGACATCCCCTGGTGGCTAGACTGCGCGGGGTGGGCCATCAGACCCATACCAGCGATGAATAGGCGATTGGACGCCGATGCCTCCCCCCCATCGTTGCCCCTGAAGGGGCGGCGCCGAAGACGCCGCCAGGAGGGGCCCAGCCCAGCGCAGGTCCCAAAGATCCGCGCGGACCGCCGGAAGCGTGTGGCTCGTGCACAGTGTTCCTCATCCCCAGCGCCTGCCCGTGAACACCACGGCGCCCTCGGGAAGAGGCCTGGGGCACCGGCGCACGACGCGAGACATCCACACCCCCTACCCTTAAGTCGGGCGTGTCCCTCTACAGGAGGAGTACTCAAAGATAGTCAGAAAATCATATCGGGACGATTATTTGACTGTGTTTGACCATTTGGATTATTTGTTTGACTATTTGAATTTTTTGGGTCCAAAATCCCCCTGTAGGAGGACATGCCCGACCTAACCCTGCCCCTCTCTTGGACGCCCCCGAAAACGTCGGCTCTTGGACGTCTTACGCCTCTGGCGGCCGCTGGAGGCCGTTTCAAGACATCCTCCTCCTCCTCCTTCTCCTCCTCCTCCTCCTCCTCCTCCTCCTCCTCCTCCTCCTCCTCCTCCTCTGGAGGCCTCTGGAGGCCGTTCCCAGACATCCTCGGATGTCGGCTCCTCAGGAGGCGCCGGCCCGATATCTGCAGACGAGGCCCACGCCTTTTAAGAAGCAGGGGTGCTTCTAAGAAGCTGTCTCCCCTCCCCCGACCCCCCTCTGCGCGTGGCCGGAGGCATGGAAAAGCCGAAAACCAACACCAGAATCATCGGCACCATCTGTTCGAGCGATCTCTCGAGCCGCGTCGATCCGTGCGGGCTGCAGAGCTCGAGACAACGCAGAAGCGCTCCATCTATGACTCCCCATGGATTCCAAATCTTGGGATGCCCCTTCTCGGAGGGCCCATGGAGACAACGGTGGCACTCCAGCCCAGCCCAAATCCGCTCAAAACCCGAAGCTGGACCCCTCCTGGGGTCCCTCCTGACCCATTCCTCGAGGCGGGCCCAGCTGTGCCGACCAAACGCACGCACGGGGAGGCCCCGAGAAGCACGAAGGCACCAGGCAGGGCCGCCCGCGTCTCTAGGGTTACGTTGCTCCCATCGCACTTAAGGACCACATCCCACAAGTAATGTCGAGCACCCAAAAAAAGTATCGAATTTGTATCGAACGAGAGTTGCCTCCCAGCGCCCGACACGTGAAAACCCTCTGGTTTGGGTACTTTCCTGGTGCTCGAAATTATTGCTGGTGATCAAGGCTAAAGTAAGCTGGAACATCATCACTGAAGAGGCCCCAGGACACACCAAAAAAATACACAGAAATAAAAAGATGTCCAATATTTTTCCATATTTTCTGGATGTTCATCTTCCCCCCCACTTCCCATATTCTCCCATATTTTCTGGGAAGTCGACGATTAATTGTGTCTGTGTGCTTTTTCCCCTCCTGAATAACTCAGGGGCGAGAACGAGGCCATGATGAGACCGTCTCAGGATACGCTCCAGGACGTCGAAGGAGCATCTGGCAGCGCATCCCGGGCAATCCCTGGAAGCGCTGGAAGCCCTGAAGCCTTGGCAATCCCAGCAGAGCGTGTCCTTATCATGACCTCTTGCTCCTCTGACGCCCGCGCCTCGACTCGCCCTCCTCCGACAACCCTTCCGCTTGCCCGCCGGACCGATCGAGCTTGTCGTCGTCCGACGCCGACGGCGCCGACGCCGACGGCGCCGGCGACGGCGCTGGCCTCCGCGACAGCACGCCGCCCTGCGAAGAGGGTCCCTGGAGGGGAATAGAAAGGGGGCCGTGACCAAAGTCGGCGGCAATCCTGGGGAGGAAGCGTGAAGGCGCAGACCTTCTCAGAAGGCTCGGAAGTCCCCGGGCCTTCTGAGAAGTTTCCTAAGCCTTCCCCGAAGACACAGAAAATCTCTTAGAAGTTGCGAGGGATTCGGAGAAAACGGAGAAGTCCCGCCGCCTTCTGAGAAGGCCTCCTCCTTCTCACTTCCCCCGCGCGCTTGCCACCGACAAAGACGTGTCTTCATGGCAAATCCTCGAATGACATTCTTGTCAGACAGCTAGCGCGATACGAATCTACTATGAGAGTGTATCGGCTCCGCCAGGGGGGAAGACAAGAGGGCGAGGAGGGGGAACAGGGAGAGAGAGAGAGAGGGAGGACCATGGCCAAAGACGGAAACCTCGTGCCGCTCTTGGTCAGCATCGACACTGGCCAGCGCTAGTTCGTGCATCACCCTCGCGACTCGGCGACGGCCGACGTGGACCCTGACCGAGCTCGGCATCGACGAGATCCCGCGACGCCTCGGTCCTCGTCCCCGTGTTCCTTCCCCCGAGCACCGGCGAGCCCGAGGGCGAAGGCGACCGCCTGGCCGCGCGGCCCGCGGCCCTGCCGGGGGGCGGCCGCAGCCGCGCCAGGGGCGCCAGGGGCCTCCGCGGCAGCGGCAGGCGCCTGCAGAAGCCGGGCAGCGACGGCGGTGGCGGGCTGCGGCGCCCCGCGCCCCCTGAGCAGCGCGGAGCCGATCCCCACCCGAGGGGCCTCCCAGAGGGGGGTCCGAGGGACCAGGGCTGGACCTGAGCGTTGCGTTTCGCCTGGTCGTCGCTTTGCTGTGCGGTTCGCTCTGCCCGTTTTCCGGCACCTCCCTGCCAAAACGAAAAACAAAAAACGCAGCCCAAGCCCGGCAAAACAGCGCTTGGGTCCAGCCCTGCGAGAACGGTGGGGGCGTTGGTCAAGGAATGTGCCTAGAGGGCTTCAGACCCTGAAGGACTGCTTGTCCGATGAGGGCGGACATGATATCCGTGGTCAAGCCTCCATTGGTGGTCCACCAGCTTCCAGACGTGGACTCCCTCTCTGAGGGTTCCTGATCCAATGTCTTCAACGCAAATGGGGTCCGAGGACCGCGCCGCATCGTCGATGCATCGGCAATGCGGCGCGATTCTCCATCCCCATCTGCTCGGACCCCCACTTGGTTGCGTGATAATCGACCCCTGACCAAAAAAAAACCTGAATGCACATGCTGGACGTCAAGTGACAACTCCATGTTGCTGCACGGTTAATCACTCGCCACGTCTACGTCGCAGACCGCGAGGGGCTGGGAAGGGGCGTGACACTCCTTGACAAAAACCCTGCCTCGACTTGTGGCCGCCGCGATCGCCGCGGCGACCTCCAAAACCGACCCAGTGGTTTGGTTCGGGGTCGGATATTACACAACGACCGCTGGCGAACTTCACCCAGGTGGGAATATACGCAGATCTCCGGGATCTCGAAAAAGTCGAGAAGGGTGTGTTCATCGTTTTGCCCCCTCGGGACCTCTTACCGAGCCTCGGGACCGTCCAAAAACGACTCAGGATGAAAAACCGGTCCCAGGAAAGTGGTCGGGAGCTCGGAAGCCCATGCCCGGAAAGCATCGGGTCACCCGACGTCCCCGAGCATGCTGTTCTCCCTTCGGCTTCCGTGGGGCCTATCCCCGCCTCCGGGGGTGGGCTGGTGGGGCCGAGACAGCCGTGAGACCCGGTGGGGATCGGTTGGGCGATGCGGACCCCTCGCGCCGCGCGGGCACGGCGCGGGGGCCGCGGAGGCGCAGTGCACGGCCCTCAGCCGCAGCTCCGCGCCCGCGCCCCGCTGCCGCGCGGCCAGCGCCCGCAGGGCCGTGGCCCCCGCGGCCGCGAGCGCCGCGAGCCACAGCGCGGGCGCGAGCCACGCCGCGGGCGCGGGCCGCAGCAGCGCCAGGCCCTGCCACAGCGAGGCGCCCGCCGCGGCGCCCAGCAGGCAGGAGGCCCAGCAGAGGCGCAGCGCTGCAAAGGCCGTGGCCGACGCCTCGGCGGCCGACCTCTCCAGCCGCGCGTGCAGCTCCGACGGGCCCGCGACCGCCACCTCCTTCCAGCCGCCCTCCGACAGCTTCAGCTCCTCGATGTCCAGCGGCATCGTTGGGGAAAGAAGACGAGCGGCATCGACGTTCTCAAGCTTCGGAGGTCCGCGCGGGCTTCTGGGGTCTGCGGTGTGGGGGCCAGCGCCGATCCAAGAAGTGCGCGCGGAGCTCCGAAGGCTTGTGCTCACGCCGCGTTCTCCTTCCTCAGATCGTCGTCCCGTCGGACAGCATGACGTTGATGACGCTGCTCAGGTCGGTCCAAGACGAGCCCAGGTCCGCCACGATCTCCAGCGGCGCGTTGCACTCCGAGTCGCCCTGCCACACCGTCTCCACGCACCAGGGCACCTCACGAGCAGCGGACACATCCGTATCCGCGCCCTCGCGGTCTGGATTCTGGGGCCCGATCCCGCGGATGCGCCGTCGCACGGATACCTTCCGCACGGGGCCTCCGCGAGAGAACGCACAGGCACCCGCGGGGTCGCGGCCCGGCCCACGAGGCAGCGGAAGTGCTCGCCGCTCGCGTTTCGCCCACGAGCACCGCCGGAACGCCACTGGCCGCCCGCGCCGTACCGCTCGGCGCGGCAGGCTGTGCCGCCGCCAGCAGCGGCTCCGCGGCAGAGGTCGGCTGCGCGGCGCGCCACGTCCGCGTCGGGCGACGCTCCGCGGGGCGATCGCCAGCGGCGCGCGCGGCCGGGGTGGCGCGATCGGGGGGTGGCCTTCGGAGAAGGCGGTGGGTGTTTTGGTACAAGGTACGGCAGATTCGTGTCGTGGCGACCCTGGCGCTGGTTTCTGGCCCCGCGTGGAACGTTCAATCTTGAACGATCAAAGGCTCTTCGATCGCCAGATCGTTCCATATTGGCCGAATCTGGCCCACCTGTGGCGTTGAACCTTGAGGCCGTGACCGCGTCGGCACGACACGCACCTACCGTACAGGGGCCTTCTTGGAGGGGCCTGGAGGCAGGCTTTCGGAAAAACTCTTCTAAGAAATCACCTGCCTTCCTAAACGCAACCCCCATTTTCTTGAAGACGGCCCCCCCCATCGCACAACCCCCTTCTGCGCGCCGCCAAGATCGATGATCTTTAGAACGTGTCTCATCGCCAACGCGTGTTTGTCCAGTGAAGGCCAGATCAACCTCCATGTTGTCTGCGGAGATGAACGTGGCAAGCATTAGGTCGGGCATGTCCTCCTACAGGGGGGTTTTGGACGAAAGATCCAAAATACTCTGACAAAATATTCAGAAAAAATCAAAAAATGTGCAAATAAAAAGCGTCCCGGGACACGCCCGATCTAAGGCAAGCACACATTTGAAGGGGCCCACAAACACACAAAAAATACACGCAAATCACAGGATTCCCCATATTTTCCCATATTTTATGGATTTCTGGCTTCGCCCCCACTTCCCATATTTTCGCATATCTTCCTGGGAATCGTCGATTAATTCCCCACATGCTTAGTGGGGTTCGGGTTTTCTTCCTTCCCGCGTCGCACCCGCGTCTCCTCCTCACCCTCCTCCTCCTTCTCCTTCTCACACGGCACAGCGCAGCACAGCGCAGAACAGCGCAGCGCAGCACAGCACAGCAGAGCACAGCACAGCTCAGCTCAGCACAGCACACCACACAGCACACAGCACATTGACACACAGCACGTACACAGCACAGCACAGCACTCCTGAACACAGCTCAGCTCAGCTCAGCACAGCACACCACAGAACAGCACAGCTCAGTTCAGCACAGCACAGCATAGCACAGCACTGCACAGCATAGCACAGCACCACAGCACAGCACAGCACAGCACAGCTCAGCACAGACAGCACAGCACGGCACAGAACAGCAAAGCACAGCAAAACACAGCACAGCACAGATCAGCTCGGCACAACACAGCGCAGCACAGCACAGCACGGCACGGCACAGCACAGCACAGCGCACACACACACACAAACACACACACACACAAGCACGCAAACACATGATAGGCACACCACACAAAACATGCGCGCCAACAGGAGGTGCGCAGGGAGTGGTCCCTGAGGGCGGCCGCTATGCGTGACGGTCGTCCAGTGCATAGCAGGCGTGGCATATTCTCGACACCATAAGTGGTGCGCACGGGGTGATCCCTGAGGGCGGCCGCTATCCGTGACGGTCGTGAAGGGCACAGCGGGCGTGGCGTTTTCTCGACACCATAGGGGGTGCGCAGGGGGTGGTCCCCGAGCGCGGCCGCTATCCGTGACAGTCGTCCAAGGCACGGCAGGCGTGGCGTTTCCTCGACACCACAGGGGGTGCGCACGGGGTGGTCACCGAGCGCGGCCGCTATCCGTGACGGTCGTCCACGGCAAGGCAAGCGTGGCGTTTTCTCGACACCACGAGGGGTGCACACGGGGTGGTCACCGACGGCACGGCAAGCGTGGCGTTTTCTCGACACCACAGGGGGTGCGCACGGGGTGGTCCCTTAGCGCAGGGGGTGGTCCCTGAGGGCTGCCGCTATCCGTGACAGTCGTCCAGGGCACAGCAGGCGTGGCGCTTTCTCGACACCACAGGGGGGCGTGCATGGGGGTAGTCCTTGAGTGCAACCTCTATCCGTGACGGTGGTGCTCAGGGCATACCGGTACGCAAGCTTGCTATCCGTGCTGGTCGTGCTGAGGGCATAGGGGGACGCAAGCGAGGTGAGTGATATCATCACCAGAATTTGTTTGCCACTTGGCTCATGCCGGCTCAGAACGTTCGGGTTTGCACGCAGGCCTGCTCGCGACGGTGATTGCCCGTCAAAGGTGCGGCGCCCGTTATGGTGCCCAAATGTGCCATGTCCGCGTTGCCGCTTCCGTGCGAGAACTCAATGCTTCAATGCGTTGCCACGTCAACGAGGCACCCGATGCCGATCCAGAAAGCACGCCTTGACGAGGGCTCA